TCTGGCTCCGTGAGTTTTTAATCGGAGGTGCGCGAAATCCCACTTTCCTTCTTTTCTCATCGCCAACTTTTTTTCCGCTGGTTTGATGGGCCAGAATAATTAAATTGGTTATTTCTGCTGTGCCTGTGATGCATATGCCACCGTCCAGAAACTGTATGTAATTCGATAATTTGGATCGATCCTGACCATCTCCGTGTAACTTTGGCTGAATATCCACTGCGTGGCTCACATCAGCACAGTCTCGGAAGCTGGGGCGTTTCAGGGTGCTGGTTTGGCGTGGCGTCAACCTCTACTTCACCAACTGCAGAAACTGGCAAGCGACCCCAAATTGGTGGTGGATAGGATGGCGCCGCGCCAAACACCACCAGTTGCCCCCCCCCTTTCGTTCGCGCGTCAGCGTGCGCAGAGAATATGATTGCACCGATTCAACCCTTTTCATGTATATGGATCAACCGCAGCGATAAGAAATTTTTATTGCACTATATCAAATTCAGTAAAGTCCTCATAGTTTGATCATGATGGCTTGCTTTGCTGGCAAAATGATTGCTTTACCACTGAGATCAATCTTGTCACGTCCTCGATACTCAGTCACACCAGGAGTAACAGCAGCTATCTGAAAAACGATCCTAAGAATGGAGTGCAACAAAATAACACGAATCCGCAGAACTAGATATAATAATGGAAACAAAGAAATGGTGAGAAGTAAGAGTAAGTAAAAAAAACGTTCTGAGGTTCCTTGCTAAGTAGATGACTGTAAGATTTGACTCACCTCAGCTCTGGCAAGGTCTTTGTTCACAGGAAGGAGATCTTGGTTCTTCAAATCGGAAAGATTGACATTGACCACGCTCGGACCGAAGTTCAGCGTAACAACGAAAGCCTGATGGAAGAGTAAAGTAGCGAGGAAAGATAAACTTGTTGGTACTGATCCTCCCTTAGAGGCCGGCCTGCCGCTGGCGTACGCTGGAAGCGCCCGCTACGCTGCCGGGCAAAGTATAAACGCCCAGCGAACAGTACCCTTTTTGACTGCTGCTGTACCAACAATTAGCTTCGAAGGCAGTTGGCCACGATAAATCCCCCCAGACGACTAGGATAAATACTCCTTGCAGGATAATTCCGCGATCAGGTCAAGCGCTGCATAGCGATTTCCTCGTGCAAGGTGCCCTCATAAGGGCCCTATAAAGCCACAACATTCCATCCCAAACGCGCTCGCCAAGCCCGACCGCCCACAAATGGACGACCGTTTCTGATGCTCGTATTCATTCATTTGCTAAGCAACTTATGAAGCGGAGGGATTGGTATGAAGCGGCCGTGATTCTGTTTGCATACACTCCTTATCCCTGACACGGAGTAGGCGTGGCATTTGAAAATGACATACATTGGGCTACTCGTGAGAAACTTTCAGTTTGAGGCAACTGTCATCTTGTTCCGTGTTGCACAGGGACTCGACAATACTTGTATCAAAATGAAAATATCACTCAAAAATCGCAGCCAGCGCCACGTTCAGTTGAGGTACGCAGCCACATCTCAGGGATTTCGAGTGTACATGGGTACACAAATATTGCAGCCGCATCTGCGGTAGCGGTTATTGGTAAGATGCCTTCGGGAAACTCGTCCAAAATTGATTACTAACACAGTGAGAACGGAAGCTTTTTTTTCGCAGGATTTTGACCGTTTGTTCTTCGCCAATGTTCCCAACGATATAGCGCCTACGGAGCATTTGGGCCGAGCCACCCATCATCGTGGCCAGCTGCCTTTAAGCCATTATTGGTACCAGCGTCAGCTGAGTACGACAGTCTCACTTACCTTGAACCTGGTTTTCCAGATGGAATCGCTTTCAAACGGGCACTGGTCTTTGCCTTCATGGACGAGGCCATCACGTCACCTGTGTCTATGGTTAAAGCGTCGCCTACACGTGAAGGGTTCTTACGCAGAACCAGAGGGTTACGCAAGGATCAAATGGAAAAGAAGCTCATCAACATAATCCGTCTCCAAGCTATTGGGAAATCAGTGCATTATAACCGAAGAATGAAGATTGACCTCATAAACGCACCCACTGTAGGGGCCGTGTTTGTCAGTGAGTTCAGTTCACTTCATGGACTTTCATATCTGAGAAACCACGCCTATTTTGGCAAGCAACAGCCTGTCATGGTAGGCGCGGCTTCTTATTTGTCGCATTTAGCTAGCATACTAGCCATTGATTTCTATTGATTTCATCGAATATTTCTTTCCAGATGCACCGCTGACTAATGTGAACTCCGTCTTCTCGCCAGTGGTGCTTTCCGCTTTTGTATCGTCTCCAACTCTTGTCGGACCACTAATTCTATCACCATGGCTATTTTCCGCCCTCATAACATCGCCCTGGGCACTGTGCCCGATCATTCTGTCCCGTTCGCATTCGTTCCCATCATTCTTTCTCCAGTAGCCATGTCCCCGTTTGTGCTATCACCTGGCATCTTTAGTCCGGCTATACTCAGCCCTCTCTCATTGGTACCCTATATCCTTTCGCCAGGTGTTTTCAACCCGATTATTCTATCACCACTTGTACTTACTCCGATGGTTTTGAGTCCACTTGCTGCTTCTCCTGTTATTCTTTCTCCTGCGTTGTTATCCCCTTTAGTACTTTCTCCCATGTATCATACAGCTTTCGTGCTCAGTCCTTCGCTACTCTCACCTCCTATCGCTTCTGATGGGGAAGGTGTGGCAATAATCCTGTCACCTGACTTGGGGATGCTCTAGCTTCGCTTTGCAACAGCTAAAAAAA